CTTCCCTTCCCTTCCCTTCCCTTCCCTTCCCTTCCCTTCCCTTCCCTTCCCTTCCCTTCCCTTCCCTTCCCTTCCCTTCCCTTCCCTTCCCTTCCCTTCCCTTCCCTTCCCTTCCCTTCCCTTCCCTTCCCTTCCCTTCCCTTCCCTTCCCTTCCCTTCCCTTCCCTTCCCTTCCCTTCCCTTCCCTTCCCTTCCCTTCCCTTCCCTTCCCTTCCCTTCCCTTCCCTTCCCTTCCCTTCCCTTCCCTTCCCTTCCTTTTTCCCTTTTTTCCTCCATTTCCCTTTTTTCCTCCCCTTTCCATCCCCCACAGCTGCCCCCCCCCCCCCCCCCCCCATTCTCCCTATGACTCAACTCTCATTTCACTCCGTTTATAATTAACTCCATTTCCAGTGCCGCCCTTCAGCCTCTGCCACAACAGGGACCAACGGCCCCGGCCTTCGCTTCGGCCCCGAACCCCAGAGCTCAGCCCCAAACCCCGCAGTTCTGCCCCACAGCCCAGAGCTCTGCCCCAAACCCCTGAGCTCAGCCCCCAGCTGATGCCCCGGCTCTCAGAGCTCTGCCCCAAATCCAAACCCCAAACCTGCAGCTGTGCCCCAAACCGACACCCTGAACCCACCGCCCCAAATCCCGCTGCTCTGCCCCAATCCTGCAGCTCTGCCCCACATCCCAGACCTTCAACCCCAAATCTCAGCGCTCTGCCCCACATCCCCGACCTACAGCCCCAAATCCTGGCCCTCTGCCCCACATCCCTCCCCCACATCCTGGCTCTCCGCCCCAAATCTTGGCTCCGTGCCCCACATCCCAGCCTCTGCCCCACAGCTCCAGGGGATGTGAGTTGGGTTTTCCATTCCGTTCTGCTGGGCTGAGTCACGGCGGGGCGACGCGGGGGGTTGGGGTGGCGTTGGTGCAGCCATGGGACCCCGCAGATGAGCTGCGGCGCTGACGACCCCCAGCCGACGGCTTCCTGTGGGGCGGCGGGGATTCGCGGAGGGGTGGCGATGGCTGAGATTTGGGAACCGCAAAACCCCAAGTGGCCCCAAAACCCCCAACCCCGATGTTCCTGTGACCCCCGAGTCCCACGGCCCCATTGTTCTCATTGACCCCAATATTCCACGACCCCAACCTCCCATGGCCCCAAAGTGCCGTGGCCCCATTGACCCCCACATCCCATGGCCCCATTGTTCCCATGGCCCCATTGTTCCCATTGACCCCAACATCCCGTGACCCCAATGCCCCATGACCCCAATGTCCCCTAGACCCCTATTTCCTATGACCTCAATGCCCTATTGGCCCCAATGCCCCATTACCCCACATCCCGTGACCCCAATGCCCCATTACCCCAATGTCTCCTAGACCCCAACGTCCCACAGACCCCTATTTCCTATGACCCCAATGCCCTATTGGCCCCAATGCCCCATTACCCCACATCCTGTGACCCCAATGTCCCATGACCCCAAAGTCCCACAGACCCCCACCATCCCCTGACCCCAAAGTCCCACATCTCCAACGTCCCTCGACCCCCGGTGCCCCACGACCCCAAGGTCCCACGGTGGATCCTTGGGATGCAGAAGGGATCCTGGGGGGGGGCTGGGATCTGGGTGACGAAGGCCGGATCCCTGGGGCAGGGAGTGAGGCTGGGATGTGGATCCCTGGAGCTGGAGAGTGGATCTGTGGGGGGTGGATCCCTGAGACGGGGGGTGGGAATAGGGAATGGATCCCTGGGGCAGGAGGTTGGGATCCCTGGGGATGGAGAATGGATCCCTGGGGTGAAGGCTGGATCCCAGGGACGGGGGGTGGATCCTGAGAACGGATCCATGGGGTGAAGGGCGGATTCCTGAGGATTCCATCCTATCCTCATCCCAGTGATCCCCCCCCCCCCCCCCCCAGGATCTGGCTTGGGAATTCATTCCCATGGATCCCTTCCTCCATCCCGGGATCCGGCCCCCATCCTCACCCCGTCCCAGGGATTCCTTCCCCCCAGGATCCATTCTCCATCCCAGGGATCCACCTCCATCCCTGATCCAAGGGTCCCCCCCATCCCAGGGATCTGTCCCACGGATTCACCCTCCTGGATCCCTTCTCCACCCCCAGGGATCCCCCCCTCCCCCCCCCCCCCATCCTCATGGCTCCGTCTCCATCCCAAGGATCCCCCCCCTGTGCCGGGGATCCACGGTGGATCACTGCAGTGGATTCCTGGGGATGGGAGATGGATGGGGGGGGAGGGGGGGCACAAAGAGTGGATCCCTGGGCTGGGGAATGGATCCCTGGGATCCCCGGGGTGGCGCTGTGCGTTCGGAGCCGCTCCGTCCCCCCCCCCCCCCTCCCCCCCCCTTTCCTCCTCCCAGCTCCAATTTTCCGTTTACGTCGCTGTGGTTTTTGGGGCGGTTTGCCCAAAATTCGCCTTTTTTTTCCTTCTCCCCCCAGGGCTCAGAATGAAGCGCCGTGGGGCCCTTTTTCCCCCCTTTTCCCCCCTTTTCCCCCCTTTCCCCCCTTTTCCCCCCCTTTCCCCCCCTTTTTCCTCCCCTTTCTCCCCCTTTTTCCCCTTTTCTCCCCATTTTTTTCTGTTTTCTTCTCTTTTTCTCATGTTTTTCCTTTCTCCCCCTTCTCCTTTTCTCCTCCTTTCCCTTTTTTTCCCCTTTATCCTTTTTTTCCTTTCCCCCCATTTTCTCCTTTTCCCCTCTTCCTTTTTCTCATGTTTTTCCTCTTCCCCCTTTCTCTCCCTTTCCTCCTTTTCCCCTCTTCTCTTTCTTCCCCTTTTCTCCTCCTTTCCTTTCCCCCCTTTTCATCACTTTTTCCCCTTTTCCTTTTCCCCCTTTCCCCCATTTCATCACTTTTCCCCCCTTTTTCCATCTCACCACCCGCTGATCCCACAGCTCTGCTCTTCAGGTTCCACCCAGCCGTGCTGGGATCCCGCAGTTCTGTCACCCACAGATGGCACCCATTCTGCCCCCCCCCCCAATGATGGCATTCTGTGTCTATGGGGTCCCTCCCACCCCATTGATGGCATTCTATGATCTATGGGGTCCCTGCCCCCCCACCCCTGCTGCGATCCCACAACTTTGGGATCTATGGGGTCCCTTCCAACCCATTGATGGGATTCTTTGGTCTGTAGGATCTTTTCACCCCACCCATGGTTTTCTGATCCATAGGGTCCCCTCCAATCCCCCTCTGCTGCAATCCCGCAGTTCCGTGATCTATGGGGTCGCTCCCCCCCCAATGATGGCATTCTGTCATCCATAGGGTCCCTCCCCCCCCCCACTGCAATCCCATAACTTTGGGATCCACGGGATCCCCTCCATCCCCCCCCCGCTGCGATCCTGCAGTTCCGTGATCCATAGGATCCCTCCCACCCCAGTGATGGGATTCTATGATCTATGGGGTCTTTTCCACCCCACCCCTGCTGTGATCCCGTGGTTTTCTGATCCGTGGGGTCTTTTCCCCCAATGGTGCCATTCTGTGACCCATGGGGTCTTTTCCCCCCAATGGTGCCATTCTGTGACCCATGGGGTCCCTTCCCCCCAATGGTGCCATTCTGTGACCCATGGGGTCCCTTCCCCCCAATGGTGCCATTCTGTGACCCATGGGGTCCCTTCCCCCCAATGGTGCCATTCTGTGATCCGTGGGGTCTTTTCCCCCCCCAATGGTGCCATTCTGTGATCCATGGGGTCTTTTTCCCCCCCATCCCCGCTGCGGTCCCACAACTTTGGGATCCCTGGGGCCCCTCCGGAGTTGGGAGCCGCAGCTCCGGCCGCCCGGCGCTGCATTGTTGCGCCGTGAGTCATTGGCAGCAGCGCGGCGTGGGCAGAGCCCTGCGGTGCCGTGGGGCCAAGGGGAACCCGAGGGGCGGCTCTGCCCCACGGCACTGCGGCTCTATGGGGCACCGCGGGGTCTTTGGGGGGGCTTGGGGGGGAGGGGGTTCCCCGCAGTGCGGTGCCGTGGGGGGGAGCGTCGGACCCGTTCTTATTATAGAGGAGACGGAAATAGCGCTGGGGCTTGGATCAGATTCCCCCGCTCTGCAGAGGGGAACGGCGCTGACCTTGGGGTTGGGGGCTGGGGGGGGGGAGGAAGGGATGGCTGTGGGGCTGTGGGGCTGTGGGGCCGTGGGCAGGGGGAGGATCAGCTGTGGGCAGGGGGGAAAGTCAGCTGTGGGGCTGCGGTGACTTTGTGTGCCTGCAGACATGGGGGTTATGGGGCAGGGGGAAGGAACAACCATAGGACAGGGAAAGGCCCAGCCATGGGGGGCTGTGGGCCTGGGTGAGCCTACAGACGTGGGGCTGGTGGGGGCAGGGCAGTGCTATGGGGCAGAGCAGTGCCATGTCTATGGGGCAGAGCAGTGCTATGGGGCAGAGCAGTGCCATATCTGTGGGGCAGAGCAATGCCATGTCTGTGGGGCAGAGCAGTGGCCATATCTATGGGGCAGAGCAGTGCTGTGCTATGGGGCAGAGCAGTGCCATTCTATGGGGCAGAGCAGTGCTATGGGGCAGAGCAGTGCCATTCTGTGCTATGGGGTAGAGCAGTGTCATTCTATGGGGCAGAGCAGTGCCATTCTATGGGGCAGAGCAGTGCTATGGGGTAGAGCAGTGTCATTCTATGGGGCAGAGCAGTGCCATTCTATGGGGCAGAGCAGTGCTATGGGGCAGAGCAGTGTCATTCTATGGGGCAGAGCAGTGCTATGGGGTAGAGCAGTGTCATTCTATGGGGCAGAGCAGTGCTATGGGGTAGAGCAGTGTCATTCTATGGGGCAGAGCAGTGCTATGGGGCAGAGCAGTGCCACGGCCGTGGGGCGTTGGCCGGGAGGCGGAAGTTGGAGGAGGGAACGGAGCTGCGCCACCTCCTGCCGCCAGGGGGCGCCACCGGCGTCGACGCGGCCGCCTCTTCCGGTCTGGCGGCGCCCACTTCCGGCCGCTCGGCGCGCAGTCATGGCCGCCCCCAGGCGGCGCCGTGTGGCGCTGCGCGGTGATCCGGCGATGCCGGCGCCGCTGACCCCGCGGCGTTTGCAGGAACGCCAAGAAGGAGGCGGACCTCCTGGCGGCCCAGGCGCGCCTCAAGGACCTGGAGGCTCTGCTCAAACTCCAAGGAGGCCGCGCTGTCCACGGCGCTGGGTGAGAAGAGGAACCTGGAGAACGAAGTGCGGGACCTGAGGGCGCAGGTGGCCAAGGTGAGGCGGGGGGGTGCGCAAAGATTGCGCGCTGTGCGGCGCTGTGGGGCACTGCTGGGTGCTACGGGCCGCTGTTGGGTGCTGTGGGGCGCTGTTGGGTGCTGTGGGGCGCTATGGGATGCTATGGGGCGCTGTTGCACTCGACGGGGCTCCATGGGGTGCTATGGGGCACTATTGGGTGCTGTGGGGTGTTGTGGGCGCTATGGGACACTGTTGCACATTCCTGGGCACTGTTGGGTGCTGTGGGGCACACTTGGGCACTGTTGCGCAGTACTGGGTGCTGTGGGGTGCTGTGGGTCATTATAGGGCACTATGGATGCTACTGGGCTCTGTGGGGCACTGTGGGATGGTATGGGGTGCTATAGGGCGCTATTGCACACTGCTGGGCGCTATGGGGCACTGTTGATTGCTATTGAGTGCTGTTGGGTGCTATGGGTCACTGTTGGGGTGCTATGGGGCACATGCGTGGGGGATCTGTGGGCTGCAGTATTGCTGGATCCCACGGAGTCTCTGCGTGTGACCCCCAAACATATGGGGCTGGGAGTGGGGATGTGTGGGGCTGGGGGTGGATGTGTGGGACTGGGGATGTGGGGATGTGTGGGACTGGGGATGTGGGGATGTGTGGGGCTGGGGATGTGGGGATGTGTGGGGCTGGGCTGCAGCGGTGTTTGCGTTGCAGCTGGACGGCGCGCTGGGCGAGGCCAAGAAGCAGCTGCAGGACGAGATGCTGCGGCGCGTGGATGCCGAGAACCGCCTGCAGACCCTGAAGGAGGAGCTGGAGTTCCAGAAGAACATCTACAGCGAGGTGCGGCGCGTGGCGCCACTGCCAGCCCTGCCCCACAGCGGGCGCCTGTGCCCCCAAGTGACTCCGCTTGCCCATGTGCCCCCCCAAGTGCTGCCATGTGCTCCCCACATGCCTCCTAAGTGCTGCCATCTGCCCCCCAAGTGACTGCGTTTGCCCCCCTGATGCCCCCCAGGAGCTGCGGGAGACCAAGCGGCGGCACGAGACGCGGCTGGTGGAGATCGACAACGGGAGGCAGCAGGAGTTCGAGAGCAAACTGGCCGAGGCGCTGCAGGACCTGCGGCGGCAGCACGAGAATCAGATCCGGCACTACCGCGATGAGCTGGAGAAAACCTACGGCGCCAAGGTGAGCGGGGGGGGGCTGTGGGAGAGGGAGTCAGCGGCTGAGCTGGGGGGCCGTAGGGCGGGGGAAAGGGGCGGCTGTGGGGGTGGGGGTCAGCGTCTGGCTTGTGGGGGCCACAGGGGGGCGAGGGGCAGCTGTGGGGCAGGGCTGAGCCCCAGATGTGGGGCTGTGGGGCAGGATAAAGCCTCAGCTGTGGGGTGGGGGGGGCTCAGCTCAACCTGGCCCTAAGCCTGATCCCAGCGCTGACCCTGACCTGACCCCTAGGCTGACCCTGACCCCCCCCAACCTCAACCCCGACCCCCTGACCAGATCTGACCCCGCCGTTTTGCCCCCCACCCTGACCTGACCCCTGACCCCTACCCTAACGCTGACCCTGACCCCCACCTGACCTGAACCCCAACCCCTGACCTGATCTGACCCCACCGTTTTGCCTCCTCCCTTCCCCCCCCGATCTGACCCTGACCCCCGGCCCGCTCTGACCCCCAGCTGGAGAACGCCAAGCAGTCGGCGGAGCGGAACAGCAGCCTGGCGGGGCGCCGCGCACGAGGAGCTGCAGCAGACGCGCGTCCGCATCGACAGCCTGAGCACCCGAGCTCAGCCAGCTGCAGAAGCAGGTGGGAGCGGGGGGTCCTTCGCCCCCAGACCCACGAAACCCGGGGGGGCTCCTCCCAACCCCCCCCACCCTGGACCCCCCCCGGGTGGTGTCGTCCCAAGCCCTGCCCCGCTCCAGATGCTCCCTGGGGGGGGCCCCCCCATCCCCTCCCCCCCATCCCCTCCCCTCCCCCCCATCCCCTCCCCCCCATCCCCCTCCCTTCCAACCCCCCCACCCCCACTCCAGCCCTCCCCCCTCACAACCCCCCCTACCACCCCCCCCCAATACCCCCCTACCTCCACCCCCTCCACCACAACCCCCCCCACCCCGGCTGTAACCCCCCAGCACAACCCTCCCCCGCCCCCCCCCCACATCCCACTCCACCCCCCCCATCCCCCCCACTCCAACCCCCCACACCCTCCAACCTCCCATCCCCCCACTCCAACACCCCTTAACACCCCCCAGCCCCC